GCACAATTCCAGGAACTAAGCTCTATTATCGCTTTGTTGATACTACAAAAGCAGTTGCATAAACAATGTTAGCCTTGATTTGTAGCTGAGAGCGAAGACACTGAGCTTATTTTCACTCGTCCAAATCAACATTCCGAACGAGGTACGTCACTTTATACTGAGATAAACTTACTAGACACAGCAACTCCAATGTTGCCGAGTGTCTCCATACAGCAGATTGCATTCAGGGGTGTCCAAAACGTATGAATTCTCGCAGAGAAGGAAAAAAATTGGCAAATTTCTTTTTGGAGTCAGTGCAAAAATTTTAACATGTTTTATACAATCTGTAAATTACAATATCTGATTCTATATTCTTTCGAGAAAAAAACAGCGTTTATTTCGTTCGATTATCACAGAAATAGCAGAAATAGGAGCAAAATTAGTAAGTGACTACAATTTTAACGGATCTCAAATAGCGGCCCTTTAAAGAATTCCGTACGGCTGGGAAAACATGAATTTAAAGGGCCGTAGGATAAAGGTTAACAAGGGAGTGGAAGAAATTGCACATTGAGGAACTTTACAGTTTGAACTCTCCAGCTGACAATGTTAAGGGGATTATACCAAGAAGATGAGTATGGCATGTAGGGGCCTGACGGAGTTAAGAAATGCCTTAAAAATTTCACTCAGAAAGCTTGAGGGAGACCCCTCAGAAGATATGGCATGGATGGGAGGTTACTTTTAAAATTGAACTGAATTTTAAAGGGACTGAGTGTAAGCTTTTGTGATGACAGAGATGAACCTTATGTGTTCCATTCTTTGACTTGCTGGCTGTTCTGGTCGTCAAAGACTGATGTTGAGTTTGAATGTGGTTTTTATTATTGGCATCATCATCATCAGTAATCTATCAAGACGACAGGTCCACAGTCTCTTCCAAAACAATTCCTCCACTTAATGCGATCTAGAGCTTTCTCCTTCAAATGACAGTATCCTCTTCTGTCCCCAAGGTCATCCAGCATCTTCTTACGTCTTCTTCCTCGTCTTCTTGTCACTTCTATCCGCCCNTCTCCAACACCACATTTCGAAACTTTCCAGATGTTTGTGATCTACTGCCCTAAGTGTCCATGTTTCAGCCCCATACAGAGCTATGCTCCAAATGTAGCATTTCACTAGTTTGCTATTGGCATATGACTGAAAATTGTGCTGAATTAACCTGTAACTGCTGTTTGGTATACTGTTTTCTTCTACATATGAGTTGTGAATGCCTTATATTATATATTAAGATTAAATATATTACTGTCTTTTCAAATGTAAAAGACCTCAATTAAATCACATATAATGAAGTACCCATTAAATAGTGTTCCTTATTGTTAAACTCATTTTCTTGTGGCTCAGGTCATTTAATAATTCATTGTCAGGTTTACCATGGTTTAATATGGATTTTACTATGCCAGTAGCCAATCAGAATCGAATGTTATCCAGCCTTGCAGGCAAGCCATGAACATATATGATCACAAGTAGCAGAACAGTGGAACTTGAAAAATGTAATTTATGCTGCAAATGCCTAAACATTAATATGTTAATATTGAAACATAACATAGGTATACCACTTTCTTAATACCACCTTTTGTAAAAAGAATAATGTGAGCATGGTATTCTAGTATAAACATAGATATTAAACACTTACAACTCTCATATGCACTGAAACTTGGTATGAGAGAACTGACATATACTTGTGCAGAATATAAAACCATATACATATTTGTGCAGATGTTACAGATGCTGTATCAGTACAATGAATAATAGTATGGTGTAACTTAGACTAATTGTATGAATGTGTCATTCACCTTCAGTTTACATGTATAAAAATGTTTACACCTCAGTTGTCTATCGTAAGTTTTTACCACCTTTGACCTTTTGATGTGTGGACACCTGTCACATACTGCTGTCTACGGCTGTATGGTGAAACTGGTTTGCGACTACTTTCTCATTGGATTTTCAGGGTGCAAATTTTAGTTACCTTTAGAATGTGAAGGAAGTGCAAGAATCTATTGATTTGAAATCTGTACTCTTTGGTATTATGTGGTTAAGATAGTGATTATGCTGAATTATATTATGTTTTATGGGCCAGAGTTGATAAGATTGTTAGAAATATGAAATGAAAATTTGTTTCTTTCTAGAGTCTGGTGAAGCGACTAGAAACAGGTTAATACAACAGAACCCATAATTAATGTTCCTCAGTTTAAGGTTTACTCTTGTTTAATGTTCAGTCATTGATTCCAAGTTAGTCAGTTTTAAATTACATCCATATAAGAGTTTCCTCACTTTAGTTCAAATGCACTGGTGCGAAAAGAAAAATGGAGATCTCACTGTACAGTGAATGAGAGAAATAGTTCCATTAATATTGCTGTCTAGGTTTCAACTGAACATACATGCTTATTACAGGAAGAATACTATGTTGCAGATGATTACGACCACATCACTTCTGAAGTCGGTAGGTCCAATGCCACTGATGAACACTCAGTACCTGAGCACAGCCACGCTGGTGAAGCCAGTCGTCGTTGTGAGCACGCCTTCCACACTCCCACCGCACACCAACAACAGCTCGTGAGGTGTCCATGTGATACGCTTGCTCCCAGCAGGCTGGGGGTCACATATTCCGTCATAATATCTGTGTGATTGAATGATAATTCCTCAAGTACAAATGTTGTCCTGTCTGCCTTAGTGAGGGGACATTGTGGAACTGCTCAAATTAAGAATCTGTGGCAGAAGTTCTGGTTAAATGTGCCCACACCTTATAGTTCTGTGTTCAAAACTTTCAGTGTGTTCTGTAGAACGTACTGTAGCCATTATTAACATTTCAAAGGATGGAAATGTGGATGTGTATTGGACAGCTGGGTCTTTGTTTTCTTTTCTTCTTTTCCCTTCCCCATTTTATGTTCAAATGTATATGTATGCATGTGGGTATAACATAGGTCTGGTGTGGTTGGTTCAACAGTAGTGTGAATGTCTGTGCGTGTGTTTGAGCCAGGATGCAACATATGCACACTGATCAAATAATGATTTTTTTGCTTGAAGACTATGTGGTGCTGATGCTCATAATTTTTATTGTGCATTTGTTTCTAAACAGGAAGAACTGTTCTGAGTGTACATAACATGAACAAACAGAAATGATGATCTGTCAGTGTATTTAATTGTAAATAGTGAACACGAGTTGCTGCAATAAAACAAAATTCATCAAACAAAAAACATTCATGCCACGTCAAGAAAATAATTACATTTCCAAGGCATTGATCCGTGTGGGATAAAATCAGTTTTATAGAAGCCTCCATTAAATGCCTTTGGCCCAGGTTTCTGAACTTCGGAATTTATGTGCTTAAAACATTCATCAGTTTCAGAACAGTCTATACAGTATGTTTCCTTCACAAGTAACTTTTAAGTATACTTATTTGCTTCCTTGTGAACCCCATACGTATTTAATTCTTCTTCCCTCCCTCACACCATCGTCATGTATTCATATGAATGGGACTTGAATTTTAGTACCAGATTCAAAGTGGATGCAATGAAAGTGCCCCGCCTGAAGTAACAACTGATATGGGTATTCAGGGGGAGTGGGATACAATAGAAATGGCTGGGAAAATTTTGTTAGTGCTTGAAAAATGTGCCAATGAGTGAAGAAAGAATGCCACGTTGAAATTGGGTTTTCTAGTTGATATGCTCTGTACACACAATCTTGCTTTAAATATCACTTTTCAAGAGGAAGGTGGCAGTAAGAAGTATTAAATACAAATTCCTACAGGAGGATCCACATTTTCTTCCTCACGTCTTATTGGATCTGATTCTGTGTGATAGAAGTTCCTATGTCCTCAGTATTTTATTTGTTCTGTTTATTTTGTAGTTATAGTAAAAGAGAGTAAATTATGCCACCCTTTCAGAACTATCAGAATGTGTATATTTTGGTTATAGGTTATATTTAAGTAATCTAAAGTAAAAATATTGACATAAAGTGTCAGTGTGTTGCAGGCTGTAGGGATATTATGTTAGTATATCCCCAGCAATGGCCAAATACATTTTAATCATTTGTATGATAAATTTGTATTGTAAGACTGGTAGAGTACATTGAAATTATTTTGGTTTGATATTATGTCTTGTAAGGAAAAGTAGCCTTAAGAGAACCTTTATGCATGGGGAATACTTAAAATGTTAGCAGTATGAAAATACTGTAGATAGAGTGTTTGCAAGTGAGGCTAATGATACAGAAGACTGGATCAGATACTTTTCTGACACTGTAAACTTTCTCAATAAGGTCACTTCTTTTCTGGTTTAGTATCATCCTTAAAATATCTCCTTTTAACATATCGATATACTACTAACCTTTTTTTGCAAAGAGACTCACTACCATTATTTTATAAAAATGAAATGAAACCTGGTACAAAACTTAGGTTGTGATATGATCTTCATTTTTGTATATATTATTTGCCAAATTAATTCTGAACATATAAGTAATTTGAAGTCTTGAATTTATTGATACAAACCACCTTGGTTGGTGTCCCACGTCGTTTAGTGAATTGATTTACTATTTCACCATTGTCAGTATACTTGTATTTTATACTTTCAGGAGCTCTCTATTTTGTTTCATCTACTTTTAACTTTTATTATGACATCCATTGAGCGGTTATTAAGTAAAGAAAAAAGAAAGACAAATGTTTGCCACAAAATTGTAAAAATATTCTGAGGTACTGAGAACCTGAGGATGACTATTTTTGGTCATAACATGTAGTACTTACTTTGTTATGTTATTGTAAATATCAGTATGATGTTACTTGTGATTGTTATTATAATATTACTACTAATTGTTGTGTAACACAGTAACATGCCATATTCATTTATGAAATACTGACTGGGCAATCAGAAAATCTTCAAATTATGGAAGTGTTTTTAACTTTGTGTTTTATATGATGTAATTCTGTAAGCTCCTCATTTGTCTGCAAAAGATTCCAAATGACCTCTTGAGGGGCATAAAAATCTTACTGGCAGTGTCACGGTGTGATGAGCGCAGCCACATTTTGAACAGAACATAACATTTTCTTGCATATGGTATATCATGTACTTCAAATTCAACGCAAGAAGGTACGACTGATAACAGATTATATACTCATACATTCTGAGAACCTGATCACAGATGTGCAACTAGTAAAGGTACCGTAAGTGCAAATTAAAAATGAGAAATTCAGGTACAATAAATACCTGAATTATAACTGTGGGAGAATTCAGTGTACAGTATACTTAAAAGATATAATGTACATTTATATGCAAAATACATATACATATGTACTACCAGTGTACAAATTACCTTGATACATAGCAAGGCAGGAATATGGGAAGCATATTATAAACGTTCATGATTCAGAGATTGCATTAAGCCATGAAAAGATTTAATAAGTGAAACGTTGTCAAGCTTATCAGTATTTCAAGAAACACAGTAGTTGTTTGACATTTTCATAATCATATAGTTCCTTCTCTTTATGAATTAGTACCCTTGATTTAAAGTTGAGTATTCTGAATCATATTGTTTTTTGCCTTAATAAAAGATGAGTGGGAAATTATACTGTGATGTATACATTTTCCAAACAAGTTCTGTGTGACCTGCATACATTGTGAGTCTAGATGTTAGTTTATTACAAATGCAAAGTGAATCACACTACAGATAACTGCAAAGCTAGAAATTATTTGGCTTTGTATTCCATTAAGTATGAGTTCGTGATGTTACTGAGATGTGTCCATATATATAATTCACAGTATTCATCCACCTGTTACACTGTATCACTAGGAAACAAACAATGATAGCAGATGAGTCTAAATACAAAAGCTGTACATTTTAGCAAGGAAAACTCAAAATTGTCATTTCTTCTGTGTAGTGTAAATTCAGTGATGGGGCTTAAGTCCAGCTTGTTTTCTAGAACTCTGGTACCAAGAAAGTGATCTTGTTCTGTCACTTGTAATGTGACATGATTGGTTCATTTATTACCAGTTAACAGAATGATCTTTCCTGGAACTGTGCATAAGACATTAATGGAGTCAAAAATTTTTTTTTTGCAGGAAGTTAAACAGTTCACATGAGATTAAAATTATATCGGTGGAGAATTTAGGCTTTGTGAAATGGTACTACTTGTGAGACTGAGCCTCTCGCGCTCTCATGTACAGACAAGGCTAACTTAACTGTAATCTTGGGATGCCATAGGAAGTCTGCTACATTCTCAAATAAGCCCTTATTTAATTGAAATTGCTGGTTCATAACTCCTAGATTTTCTTCAGTTACCCCAGCACCTTCCAGAACAATCCTCTATTCTAATGAGAGAATAGTGGCCCTGCTCCAACCAATTAAGTTCTTGGTGTGTAGTCCACACTCCTCTGGTCTCAAGTCTTCAGGAACATCCCAGACCTTGGTCGGGGTGAATTGCATGTATCAGGTCCTATTGAATCCTTTCAGTGCAAACATATCTCATAGTTGACGTGTCATGTGGTTGACTTGGCCAAAATGTCCTTCATGGTTCAGGCACACTGGGAAGGCCACTTTATAGTCTGTGCCAGCATTGTCTTCAGTATCACCGAGTGACCTTCAATCCAGCACTGGATAGTTGCTGCTTCTTATGTAATTAACTGCCTTTGTTCTTCAGAGCTGTTGAAATCCTGGTGCTTCCTAATTCCTGTCAATCTTCCAAACAAATGGATCGTAATGTACCACACAAACATTCCTTTTGAAACAAATTTTGAAAAATGTCTATCAGCACATGACAAAATATTGTATTGCCTCCCTGCAATACTGATTAGGCCTTCAACTGTCACTGCAAACTCATTTCGAGCCGAATAGGGTGTTAGCCCAGGGAACCCTTCGTCATCAAAATCTTGCAACATTGGGTTGTTTCTTAGGGATGACTCCCTTGTAGAAAAAGACTTTGGTTCCGGTCTAAGGCTGGCGTCCATGTTTAGCTTGGTGGTGGTTCCATATTTTGTTGATGTTGAGCTGGAGCTTTCTTTTGAGGCTGAGATCTTAACATTTCTTCCTCCTCGGCCTCGAGATTTACCACGTCCTCGGTACGCCCCTCTTTTATGCATACTCTAAGTTGAGGTCCCAGACTGCAAATTAGTGTTGCTTTTTTGTGACCACGAGCACTGCTCTAACACCATAAAGAATATAATTCAAAATGTAGAAAAATCAGCGTGAACAGGTGGCTCACACAAGTTCTACAAGGCTCAACATTCCAGAAGACGAAATTCTTAATAGCCACCGCCATGAAAAACTCAAATCTTACACTTCCTATTTTCTTTTTGAAAATGTTATTTGAGCTAAAATAATTATACTTAACGTTCCGCCACTGAAGGAGACTTATTATTATTTCATTACTTGCGGTCAAGAAACAAACGTTTAAGTAATGCCCAAATGTGTGACGGTACTTTTCTTTGTGACATACCGTTCTTGTTCTGAAAATTTTCTTCTTCTACGTCGTTTAGTAGCTTTGAAAACAAATTTCTCTGCTATTTTGCTTTAAATTTCAGATTTCGACATTTTGCATTGCAGTCTTAGGTGTGGGGGAAATTATGTATTTAATACAGCAACCAAAGTAGCATTGATGAGAGAAGTTTGTCTGCTCCGGTGTAACCAGCGATTGGTCACACTGGTATATTACGCCTGTAATCGTGGACGCTTTCACTGTGATTCTTTTATGCTGCAGCTCAGAAGATCGTGGTAGAAGTTGCTTGTCTGCGGATGTTGTAAATGAAGGCTATTGCGGTGGGAACGGTGGCAATATAAGCAATTTTTTTTTTCTAGTGATACTTTTGACTTTAGAGTTTGCGCTGCTTATTAGACAGTAGTTTATATAAATTTCATTGAAGACACAGAACCGTTCTACACTATTCAAAATGTTTTGGGGTAAGTGATTAGGACAGCATTAACGAAATTTGAATAGTGACGCCATGTGGTAACGTGAATGATATAGAACACGAAGAAAGCAATCTTGGGATGTGGCAACAGATAAGAAAGAATTTGTATCATCACAGTTTTAAAATGTAATATCAATGTAACATAGTACATGATATCTGTAACAAAATATAAATGTGTACACGTACATGAGATTAAAGCGATTTGCGTTTTGGAGGGAGGTTATCGTCTTAGTAGAAATTCGTTGCATAGTACATGAAGCAATTTTAGATTCACAATTACTGAATGTTTTTTTTTTTTTCGTCATTGGACACCATCATCGACGTAACAGCTGGCCACTAGTACGAAATAACGGCGAGACTGCTAAATAAACTGAACGTTTCGTTTTATTATTGTAATTTATAATAAATAATGGGCCGCGCCATAGCTCAAGCGGTTAGTCGCTGGCTTCCCACCGCAGCGGCCCGGGTTCGATCCAGGGTCTGGTCAAATGGAATTTGTGGTGGGCAAAGTGGCGCTGGGGCAGGTTTTCTCCGAATACCTCGGTTTCCCCTGCGAATCTTCATTCCACCAATTGCTCCACAATCGCCCTCACCTATCATCTGGGGCTGGTACAATAGGCCAGAAGTGGCCGCAGTACAAGGGACTTGGTCCCACCCCACTGGCAATAAAAAACATATAATAAATAATACCAATACTTCTGTGGGTCTGTAGCGAGGTATAAACACTAGATGTGTTTCAGATAAGTTTTGGGTTAGGATGCAAGTTAGAAATTGTAAATTCGAAAAAGTTGTCTAATTATTTTATTATGCATGTACTTATTTTGAAAGTTCACTGTCAGTTGATAGAATGTGCTTGCATTTTTCTGCTTTATATGGGTCTTGGTGTATTTATAGTTCTTCTGATTATTATTAGATCCGGTTGAGTTGTATTCATTTTGCTTTTCTGTTTCAGGACTGATTATGGAAACTGGAAAGCGCTACACTCAGACTGTGGAGAGAGCTTTCCATGTCTCAATGGCTTGTCTTGATCCAACCACGGCAGATAATGATAATGTTTCTGTATTGTTGTCATTTGACAACAGAGAGTTTATATTATGCAGTTTGAACAAACACAGAGTAATACAGACACAGCTAGATTTGAACTTCCAGAGTGGTGACAAAATTGCGTTTATGTCTTCTGGAAGGGGCCGAGTTCACCTTACTGGTGAGTGCTGCGTGTGAAGAGAGAACAGCCCATGTTAATGGTCTTGTTCCCCTCCCACAGTGTTCAGGTTTTGTTGGTCAGACTATGGAAGAGCGAAGATAGCTCAGTCAGTGTAGTGACTGGTTATGGACTGGATGGCCAGAGTTTAATTTTTGGCAGGGAAAAGATTTTTCTTTTCTCCATATGTTGAGATGATGGAAGCAGTATAAATAAATAACATTGTCACTTCAATTTACTAGTTTAATCACAGTAATAATTATAGAGAAAATCACAAAGAACGAGACAGGGTAATGTCCCTTTTTATCACAAGAAGGTTGAACACAAAAACTCGCAGGCAGCGTCAGACTCTCACTGCTATCACTAATTCACAGTGCCCTTCCTTCCTTTTGTAAGACTGTTGGAACAAAAAAAAAAACAAAAGAATGGAAAAGAGCGCCCTGTACACAATATGGAGATATAAGGCGCCAACATTCAGACTATAACAAAATTAATACAAAAGTGATTTTTGATTGTTATTAATACTATAACACCATACAATCCAGTCTGGCTGTGGGGTCCATCCAGCCTCCTATCCTGTAGGAACCAGGGGTGATTTCCCTTGGAGTAAAGCAGCTGGGGCATGAAGCTGACCATTCACCACTATCCAGTGCTGAGGTCAAGAATGATGGAGCTATATCGCCACTCCCCCATATGTCTTCATGGCAAAGTCCTTAACACATTGCGGACCGGTGGTTTAAACATTTAAATCGCCCTGGGGACCGGCGTTTTTAAACCTACTACCCTAACTTGTGCACTGTTCACTTTAAAAATTAATATAAAATCTCCTAATTAATTTTATGAACTGAAATTTTTGGAGAACACTTACCAGAGCTCCTAGAAGTGCTTGCGCATGTGATATCTCTGGAAACATTCGCCTTTGTGAAGAGGCATTGCGCAGAAGTTGCACATGTAGGCAGTTCTACTCTTCTTCTTGTGCTCTGCGCGCACACGGCACTGCCTAGAAGGGTGTTTCTTCTTGCAATATTCACTCTTCACAGTTTTCATGAGAATATGTTTCCGCATA